GGAAGGCCCACTGGCAGGGGAAGGTGAGAAAAGAGGTTAACGGGATGGCAGTGATGAGGTGAGAATATCATAGGAGTGGAAGGGCGAAAACAAGGCAGGAAAGGCCGTTTCGAGCATACGCATTGTACATGCAATGCTTCCCGGTGCTCTACTACCGATGAATCGATGAAGCCGCAGAACTCCCTACAGAGTGCTCCTTCCGATCTCAACACTGTTAAACTCCGTGACAGTTAATGACAGACACGAAATGATTTCTTCTCGACAAAGACTACTGGCAACCCGCGAACAGGTAGACTAGGAAAGGTTCGTCACGGTCGCTAGCTCATCATACCCTAAGCCACTCAGAGCTCCACAACGCCAATCAGAGTCGCTGACTCACTGCTAGAGACTACTCATGACTATCGCGGGTACCCACGAATTGCGCTCAATCAAGCGGTCTTAGCAGTACCGTTCTTTTTTTTTTCCAACACATTTCTTCAATCACTCTGAAGTGGCATCGGAGGTTCATCCACCCAATCATTGTCTAACGTTTACCTGTTCCATAACTACCCTAGCCAACTTCAGCTCTCCGGTACCCACGGCTGCACTGGATGAGGGAGGGGAAAACAGTGTCCGAATGATGAGTTGGAGGGAATGATAGAAGCGAAATTCATCGAAGGTGTATGATTGAGGGGCGCACAGGTCCTGCATTGAAAGTTTATAGTCAACGTATGTTCGTCGTCCGATCCTCTATCTATATCGACTCACCTCTGTATTTCTCAAGCCACTGCCTTCCTCATCGGCTGATTTGGTACCTTGAGGGACTCGCGACGCCTAGTGTCATTCGGAGTTGGAAGGGTTGTCGTAACTGTGCAGCTGTCATGGAAGACCGCTCCTGGAAAATTATTTCCAGTGGTAGCGTGGGGGCACTGATAGTGTGCGGTGTTGATGGTCGACTGCGAATCACCATTAGTTTCGTGGAACGACATGCCGCTGAGGGTAGAGTGGACTGGCTGTCGGAGGTTTTCTGAGCGAGATCTTCGTCCAAAGCACATACTGGTGGGTGGCGAGTCGAGCAGTAGCTCGAACGGTGCGTTTTAAATCCTTCCTGGGGATTGTGGAGCGGGTTTAGGATCGAATCGAACATCCTTTTGATGAGAGGCCCCAGACCCTCGATCGCTCGCAAAATGAAACCAGGGGTTATGTGGTATGAGAGTGATATACTCGTGCCATTGATCTGAAAAGACCATTCAACTAGTGTATGGGTGTAATATGCCATTTTCCCTTCTCACGAACCGCACCCAGCCCGCGACTTGTAGGGGAAATACGAGTACGGGATCATTGGAAATGGATTGCTAACGATTCTGGATTATTGTTGTCTCATATACATCCCCAAAGGGATGAAGGGTTGTCGGAGGTCTTCCTCTGATTGGACCGTTATATCAGGACATATTTCAGCGATATACGGCTGAGATTCAGGGCTAGATTTTGTAGCAAACCCTGAATCTACGGGGAGCAGGTAAAAACCAGGTTCCACTGTTCGTACCTATTCGAGTAGCTCCTGAGAACGGTCCCACCTCATTGGCCTCCCCTGGCCATCAGGTTGTCCCATTTCGGGCACAATAATTCCAAATCCTTCAAGTATAACTTGGGTACTTACCGAGAAGCACTCGGGTTTCGAACATCTTCCAATTCATTCATTTGGGGATCTGTAGAAACCAGAAAGTCACCCATCGGGATCCGTCAGCTCATCGTCTGATCGGAGCTCGAGAAACAACCGGGGCCTTGAACGGGTGGGTACTACGCAAGCAGTAGGTTCGCGTAATTACCCTGCAGGAAAAAGGTAAAATGACAAGTTTGGACGTGCCCACCAACCTCATATCCAGGAAGGAAGTTCATGGTAATCCTGCATTCGATCATTCGGACGCTAGTCAGCGAACGTAAGAAAGCTACGGCTCTAAGGTAAGCACCGAGACTCACCATTATCTTCAAAAAAGTCTCCAGGCTCCCAATGACATGCTGGCTGGAAGCTAGCCTTATGAGAGGTCTCTTCAGATGATTCCTTCCGTATATGTGCGCCCACAAATACTGATCAGTAACCTAACCGAGGGTTTGGGAAAGTTCTAGGAAGACACATCTGGCAAAAGCCAAACGAGAATCCAATGATAATTAGTGGTGTGAATGATCTGATCAGGGGAGTAATTGAACCTACTCGACGAAAACGAACTGAGGTTTTCCAAGAGAACAGCCTGACAAGATGATAGATAGAAAGGGAATAGTTTGCCGTTGGGGGTGATCAGTGAGGTCGAGGACGAGTCGGACTCGGAGGTGGATTTCATCCGACGAGCTGTTGATGAGTTTAGTGCTGATATCATCGATCCCGCAAGCGCTCACGGCTTGGACGGCTTCCCACGTACAGGGCTGATTTACTGGTTTAGGCGCCATAGCTTACCTGTCCCTAATCAACCACCATCGACATGTCGAGGATAGCGCCTTCATTCACTTTGGAAACGGATGCTAGCTGCTAGAAGCTTCGTGTACTCGACACTTTGGAATGCTATGTTCCAATTTGCCGACCACAACGAGGCGCTGACTCGTCTCTTACCAGGTACCCAGATTGGACTATTGATGACTTGAACAGTTTGAATTTGAGTGAAAGGGTCTATTTGGCAGATGTGATCACCAGTAAGCATTCCTTCTGTTAGAATGAAAATTCTTCTATGTGTCTCTTCTCCTTGTACGACACCCGACTCGGAATTGCGTTCTACTTCTCTTCGCTCGCCCTTTTCCGGTGCTGATGAGATCTAAACTCTATCGTAGGTCGAGCTTTCGAGCCAGCCGGATGTCTGGAATCCGTTGAATGAAGATGATGGAAGGATACTCAATGAATTTGAACTTTGCCGGGCGTTTGCTGGGTTTCTTGTGTGTACCTGTTCTCCAAGTCTGACTGTGACCGGCAAGTCACCCCTAGACGCGGGAAATCAGCACTCAGAGCCACGTCAGCCGCCGCAAGTAATTTCTTTCAGCTCTCCTCGCCATCCTTGTTGTTCCCGAATGTGCTGCCTATTTGCATGACCCACTTCAACATCCGCAATCACCCTCAACATCTCAGCGTCTCTCCTTTGCCGCCTTTTTGCCTTCACAAAGTCGCGCCTCCACCTCAGCATTCAGGCTCATGGGTCATGCGAAATCTTCACCACAAAATACCACCACAACGTTTGGTTGCTCTAGGTCTGGTGGAGAAGGGAGAGATACGGCCGATTCGAGGTGTTGACGATATAGGGTAATCTACGATGAAGGCAGGAGATCGGCTAGCTCGTGTGAAGAGAGCACAATGACATCGGAGATGAACAACAGACCTCCGGAAGGCCAAAAAAATGCGCTTATGACCTTTGGTCTAGAGCGATAGCGACGCACCTGTAGTGTGTTTCGCATAGCAATTCTCCTGCCTTCTGACTCCGTTCCTCTTCTTCATGCCTCTCCAACCGGCGGAAATATCCATTCAAGCCGGCACGGCAATTTTGTGTCGTTTCAGAATGGGCTGGGTTACGGGTGAGCACGAGAAGCGGATTTCTTGGGCAGGAAGACATTTCCTCGTTCGTCGAGGAGATGGCTGGCCAGTCTCAGCGGGATTGCACGCCGAATCACCAAACACTTTCTTTGATGAGCAATCGTCAAGTGTTGGCCACGCACCTTAGGTTGTTCGCTGGTGCCCAGAGTCACCGCTTCTACACCGGAATCCACTACTCCAGGACCCGGCTCCCGTTCTTTTTCTTCCATTATTTCCTCTAGGCCATCTCCAACCGCGCTCATACTAGGAACCATAGTCTGGACCCGCCCAAAGCTCTCCCATCTCTTCGTGTTTTAGTTGCTCTATTCCCCTCCCCTCCCTCGACTCATACCATTCTGCCTCTCCTTTCCCGCATCCCGTTTCGCTCCTACGTACCTATACACGTTCCACCACGAAACGTATGCCTTGTCATACTGCTCGGCCAGAGCTGGAGGCACGATTGAGAATCGGCTGGATGAGATACCAGGGGCTCGCTCGCCTCAAAGTAGTGCTGTAGGGGTGGAAGACCAGACGCCTACAAACCGGGATGCTTTAGACGAAGATTAGGGATGTTTATCCTGTTCACAGCTTCGGTTTTTGCTCCTCGTGCCATCTTTATTTACTTCTCTTTCTCCCTCCCTCTTGGGTCATGCTCTGTAAACATGGTGTCCCTATCCATTGTAAGCAGCTCGGAAGCGCGGTCACTCGAACGACGAAAACACCCCAGTCTGTGGTTACGAGATGCAGCGGAGAACGAGATAGATCAGCTTTGCCGGAGCACCAAAAACGGAGAATGTTCCTCGTCGAGGTGTTTTCGGATAGGCCATCGTCTCCCCAACCGGAAAGGTAGAGCAGCGTAGAGGCCTCCCTTTACTAAAGGGAGGTCCAAACGTCAAGGATATTTATGGTGCCTTGAATGCGATGTCGGTGTTGGTAGATTTGGTTGTGAAGTTTGCCCCTGAAGCCTCTGGTGTATGTGGACACCAACTTCCTGATTTCAGCCCATTTCCTCCCCGCTTCCGCCCTCGTACCTTCGGAATCCGTTCTCTCCTCCATCACTTACCTCCTTCTCCTACAAATTATAGTGTCCCTTCTCACTATGACTCTGACGTCGAGCCTTTCATTCCCTTACCTCACTGCCCCAAACTCCTCGTTCTTTCTCTCAAGCACTGTTCGTAAATTCTCGGGGCGAGCTTCGTTCAAACGTCCTTGAAGACGGTCAAAGGCCACGAGAAGCGACGAGCGGGAATACCCGAGTTGGATAGAGACACCCGAAGCAGCGTGAATTTCCAACTCTCGACCCCCCGAGAGAGGTTTCACTCGGTATATCGTCGAGTTGCGAATCTGCCTAGCTACGCGAGGGTCAAAAAATCAGACCGTCTTCCTCGGTCACAATTTTCTCCCTTTTCCTCCTCGCCACGAGCTCAGGGTATATCCCATCCCTTCCGCATGGTCTGTTGGGCCATTTCGAGGCGCTATAGCCAAGTGATTACGGCGACAGATTGAAATGGTCACCATGGACGCTGCTTTTCAATCTGTTCCTCTTTCCGGGCGCAGGTTCAAATTTTGCTGGCGTCGAGCTGGGGGAATGATGTGATTTTTTGTATTGAGTGGGTTCCGAGGTGTGCGTCCTTTCTTGCTCGCTTCTTCGGTTCAAAGTTGGTTTGCTGATGAATTTCTGGTAGAATAGGTTAGCCTATACGCCCAACAAACAAGGAGATCCACAGTGTCGGTACCTTCGGCTGTCATGCTCCTTGCGCCAGCGAACGAGTAGAACCCAAAACCTCTATCTTTTCGTGTCGTTAGGCGGCGGCTACAACGCGGGGACATTTCTCCAACACGAAGCAGCCCATAATGGATCGCCATCTCGAGTTTCATCGATCGTTCTGAAAGTAGAGCTTCGTCCTGTCTCCACGTCGTCAAGGCCCCAAGGCCTCATCCCGAACGTTCAATAGCCTGGTTTATCTCCTGGTACCTTTCAACATAACTCCAAACTCGCCGCCGTTGGCTATCCTCCACCTACCTCCCAGCTCTGGGAGCATACATGATCTCT